GGAGCACGACGCGAGGGACAGTGCAGCCGCAGTTGCGGACGATAGGTTTCGGAGTCGGACTCAATACAACTACCTGTGCGTTAAGGGCGGCGAGCCATCAGGGACCCTCCTTGTTGGCATGAGGGACCGCAGTGGCGGCCACATTGAACGCGTAGACTTTGCGAGACTCTTCCACAAGCAGGAGAAGTCCAAAACGAAGAAGAAGAAGAAACAGTCCGCAGTTGCGGAGGCTCCTGCGCCAAAGCTGCACAACAAGTACTCCAGGGCGATGGTGGTGCGCGTCCACCTGGACCAGGCCGTGCCCCATTTGGGGGGCTCCTTCAACGTCATGGCGGTGCACGTCCACCACAGCTTGGCCAACCAAGACTGGGGCGTCACGAAGCTCCATGAGTTCTACAACTGGTTCGTCGCCTACGTCAGGGAATGGGACGTGAAGGTCTGCATGGGGGACTTCAACATGTGCATGTTCCAGCTTGTGTCCTGGTGCCGCAATTGCGGCCTGACTGTGGACGTCGCCGCGTGGACCCCCTGGAAGACAGCAGGCGGCCAGCCCAGGGCAGACAGCATGGCGATTTTGTTCATAAACTGTCCTGGGCAGTACAAGCTTCACCATGGCCTGAGTGTTCTGCACGACCGTGAGGGCGGATTCTTGACGACCCAGCATGATCCGTCTTTCCCTGTCTTCGACTACACGAATGGCCCTGGGAAGATGCTTCAGACTTACGTGCCCAAGGCTGAGCCCGTTGAAAACAAGATGCGCGCCTTCCTGACGCCATCTGGCGAATCCTTGACCGCAGTTGCGGAGTTCGAGCAAAGGATGGCGCGCAGGGAACGCGACGATTGGGTGCGCTATCCCTTCAGAGTGAAGCAGGGCAACCTCGACGACAAGATATGGCATGGCGCCTTCGGCAGGGCGAGGCACGGAGCGCACTTCCCTCTGGTGGCTTTCACGCACAATACGTGCCGCAGGTCACCTGAAAGACTCGCCGCGAGGTTGGAACGCAGGAAGGGCGGCAGGAAGGGCGGCAAGAAGGGCGGCAAGAAGGGCAGCTACGCGGACACCGCAGTTGCGGGGAAGGGCGTCCGACCCCAGATGGGAACCGCAGTTGCGGGGAGAGACGCTGGGGCTGAGCGAGCTGGGAACACGCCACCGCCGCAAGCTGCCAACGGCGACGATGCGACCCCTTCTTGTGCCGCAGTGGCGGCTGGGTCCTGGGACGCCAGCGGCAGCGGCGCATGGGAGGCGCGCAGTCCCGCCACGAGATGGCAGGGCTGGTCCTGGTGGGACTGGAGCTCGAGCGAATGGGGCGCTGATGGCGCGCAGTGGTGGCCCTCTGATCATGCCGCAGTTGCGGACAATGCCCCTGAGGGCTCGCCTCCTCAGCGTGAAGTCGAGTGGGGCTCGAGCGGGCGACCTGCCGAGCGCCCTCGGCGAGCTTCGAGGCGCAGCGTTGGTGATGGCCGCAGTTGCGGGCAAGTGGAGCATGATGTTGATTGCCGCAGTTGACGCTGGAAAAATCATCATCATCATCAATCATAATCATCATCATATCATCATATCATACGTTCAAAGCAGTGCCGGGGCACTGCTTTGAACGCGTTCAAAGCAGTGCCGGGGCACTGCTTTCGATCGTCGCCTCGTCGCCGTTATAAGGGCTTTCGGATTAGGTGCGCTCGCGCCACAAGTAACATCCATGGGTGGAACAGTAGAAGGAGCGACAGGATGCAGATGAGCAGGCGACGGAGGAGAGGAGGATCAGGAAGGAAGGGGAGCAGGAGGGGCAGGAGGATCGGAGGATGGCGGAGGAGGAGAAGGGAGGGGGGCGGCAACGACGCGGAAGGCATCGGGCCCAGAAACGTGGCCCGCGCTGAACGCGGAAGCAAAAAAACGCTGCAACGGGAGCACCCTTGACGGGCCGAGAGCGTTCCGGTCGAAAATGCACACACGCACACACACACACACATTCGCAACGTTTTTGAAATTATGTGCGCGAGGAAAGAACCTGCGAAAGAGGCGGGAGTACACGCGCGCACTGTGTCAGGGGAGAGGGTACAGTAGTAGTTCTGGATGTGCAATTCAGAAGACGAGTGAAAGATACATGATGACTAACGATTAGCGCAGCGCGCCTGTCAGCGGCAGTGCCACTGTTGGACTGTTGCCTGGGGGAACGCCTCTCGAGAGAGTGGCAGAGAGCGGCACAGCGTCGGCCGACCCACGACATTCCGCGCCTTCCACTCTCATCCCTTACGATTTGGGGCGTTGATGTCGCGATCTCAAGATCGAAGAGAACGGCTACAGGGAAGACCGTTGCTGAGAATCTGCAGCTTGCCTATCACTGCCTCTTCGGCCCATCCTCAAACACCGGTCCAGGCCGTGCACCGCTTAGAGAGATCTAACCTGACCTGGGCGCGCAAGGGGCACGGGCTTTTCGCTGCGGCGCCATGACCAGCTCTTGTCGTGGGGCTGCTCAGTCCAGATGGGGCCGCAGACCTGGGGCCCTGGTCGGACCACTCCCCCTCTCTTCCGGGGCATCGACGGGGGGATATGCTCCGGGGCAGATGCATCGACCCCCAATTGCCATTTGATCGCCGACGGGGGCTCGATAGCCCACCCCGCCCAGGATCGTGCGGATTCGTGATCGGGGTCTGTCGCCGATCTATCGGCGATGTATCGCCGAGTTTCTCTCCCTGAGCCGGTCCCCAAGCCGCGGCGCCCTCGCCGCGCTGCGCCGCGGCCCAGCCCTCCCCCCCAACCCCGTGGCGGGCGCCCGCTGCGGGCAGACGCCGGCGCCCAAAAGTCGGCGCCCGCCGTGCCGGCGTTGGACTTTGGAGGTCCTGGGTGACCGTCGGCGGCTTCCAGGAGCCTTCGGGGGTCCTCCGGCGGTCTTCCAAGAGCTCTGGAGGTCCTCCTTGGCTCGGGGGTCCCTAAACGGGGCGGTGATCACACCGTGCGGTGGGTCGGTGGGGATTCGAGGTCACCGCACGGTTTTGGGATTCGGGTCGCTCTCCAGGGACGTCTCGGGCGACAGGGGCCTCCAGGGTCCCAAAACCGTGCGGCGACGGACCGTGCGGTGAGGTCTTGGGGGGTTCCGAGGTCACCGCACGGTGTGTCACCGCACCGGTTCGGGACTCCAAAGTGGCTCCTGGTCCCCCCTGGACGTGTGGCCGTCGGTTGGGGCGCGCCCGCGTCCGCGCGCGCTGGAGGGGGGGCCCCGCTGGCCAGCTGACGGGCCGCGGGAGCGGGCCGCGGCGCACGAGCGTCGGCTGCACGCAAGAGCGACCTCTCGCCGGAGTGGCCTTTTGGTGCGGGCCCAAGGGGGTGTTAAAGCTCACGTCCTTCACTGAGTTTGGCGAAAACCATCAGCAAGTGACTGCGGGGCGGAAAACGTCCTCCCGAGCAGGACAGATCCGACCCCAGGCGTGAACACAAGGAGTGGAAGGGCGGAGAACGAGGATTCAACGCGAAATGTCGCTCGAAGAGCTTTTCGAAGCGACTCGAGGGCGAAACGGCCGTCCGAGAAGGGCGGGTCCGACCCCAGGCGCGAAATCCAGAGGCCGAAGGGAGGAGGAGGGGACCCCCCGATCGCTGAGTGCGGGTGATAGGAGCGGTTTGCGCGCCTGGTGGTGTCATACAGGGCCCCCGCGCAGGCTGCGCACCGAAGGTCACCCTTTTTGGGGGTTATGATGTCCGACCTTCTTTAGTCTTGATCACAAGAAAGAAGTTCGAGCAACCGGGAAATACCCAAATTGGATGGTTTTCTCGTGATGGGCCCTTCGCTAGCGTGTCGGGCAGACACCGTTTCGATACCTTTCTGGGTGCTCGGAATTATGTCTGGGATGTGGTCCTCAAGTACGATGGAAACAACATAAGGCTAGGGTCACTCTTGCGTGTAGCCGAGCGCGTGGTTTCGGGACAGCGACCGCGACAACGACAACAACAACAGCGACACACGACGGCCTCCGGCACAGTCAACCCGCATAGTAAGGATGTGCAACCTTCCCAGAGGTACCCTTGCATCCTTGCCTCCTCGGCCCATCCTTCGCCACTTCCGTTGGCCGCGCCCCGCTCGAAAAGCCTGGGCAATGGGCGCCCAAGGCCCGTGCATCCTCATCGCGCACCCGTGCTATGCGGGCGGACTGCAGCCTCGCGCACCGAGCTCGCGAGGCGAAGCGCAGGGGCGCCCGTGCCGGGGGGGCGGGGCGGGGCGAGGCGGCTCCGTCTCGTTCTCCTCCTCCTCCTCCTCCTCCTGTGCGCCTCGGCTTTGGCCTCGGCCTCAGCGGTGGAAGCGCAAGGCTCTCCGTTCCCCCTCCGGCTTGGCTTGCAAGTCACTTGCGCAGGGCCATGTTCGGAGCTGTTGCAGGGTCTGGCCTCGCGAAGCCGCAAGTCACAGCGATGCCAAGTTTGCAGTCGGAGTCGGGGCGAATCGTTTGGCCCAACGAGGAGACATCAGAATGTTTCCTTTCTTCAGCGGGCAGTTGGACTCGCTTTCAAACGAAGCGCAAATCCAACTATTCCTCATCCCGGACTTCCGATGGAGTGATTGTGTTCCATTCGCGGGCCCCAAAAGTGCCGATCCTCTCCCTGGGGGCATTTTTCCATCGTGGATCCATCCTTGATGGCCACGATGCCCGAAAGCGGCCCCCAGAGGCCGACACAGAGGAACAGCGCCAGGGCTGGCGAGGGCAACGGGGAGGAAAAGGAGGGAAAGGATGAGTGGGAAGGGGTGGAGGAAGAGAAAGAGGAAGAGGTGGTGGAGGAGGAGGAGGAGGAGGAGGAGGAGGAGGAGGAGGAGACGACGACGACGCGGACATTGAGGAGGACGATGAGGAGCAGCAGGAGCAGGAGCGGGAGCAGGGTAGGGGAATGGAGGGGAAGGCGAGGACGAGGAGGAGTGGTAGGAGGACGAGGCCATGGAGGGGCAGCGGCCGATCCACCACCACCCTGGCGGGAAGGGCACAGTGGCCGTCCGCGGCAGCAGTGTGGGCTATATCGCCCGCAGGACAGCGGCTACACCATGCTGACTGGGCGGGCGGTGATACTCCAGAAGGACGTCGCGTGGGCCGAAACAGTTTCGCCCCCCCCCCCCCCCACCCACCCCCGCCCTCATCCCCCGCATCGTCGTCCGGCCCTCCTTCTCCTAGAGGCTCGAGGAGGAGCAGCAGGAGGAGAAAGAGGACGAGCAGCAGGGAAGCAGACGAGAAGAAGGAAGTGGGATGAGGGAGGAGAAACATTAGGAGGAGAATCAGGAGAGATCAATGATGAGGGGCAGGAGGAGAAGATGGAGGAGGAAGAGGGAGGAGGAGGAGGAGGAGGAGGAGGAGGAGGAGGAGGAGGAGGAGAGGGTAGACCAGTGTAAGCCCAAGACGCATTGACGATGTTGAAGTACACCCTCCCTCCAAGTTCCATCTCCATGGGTCCGTGCAATAATCGGTTTTCACTGCAGGGTATGCTCCGTTGGAAGACAACCGCCTTAGAATCCAGAGTCGTTCCAAAACACCACTCCTGGGAGTTCAGCGCCGCGAATCAACGGTACGGGTGCGTCCTGACGATCCTGGATTGTGCCCGAACACAACGCTGGAGACTTCAACACCGCGAATAAACGTGGCTATTGCTCCCTGACGCTCCTAAACATTGCCGGGGCACCATTCTTGGGACGTCAACCTTAGAATTGAATCCGGTGTATTCGTTTAAGACGAATGCACGCGGCGTTCAGGCGCGAGCCACATTTTGATAATGACCCGTCCTCCATTCGCGAAAGTCTTGCAACCCTTTCAGATGAATGTGCGCGGCGCTAAGGCGAGATTCGCATCGTGAAGTGGGCCCGCCCTCCATCAGTGAAAGTCTTGCGCACTTCTAAGACGAATGAGCGCGGCGCTGAGGCGAGAGACACATTTTGAGAACCACCCGCCGTCGGTCCGTGAAGCTCCTGCAAACTTGATTTGTAGGACGAAGAGACGCGGCGCGGAGGCGAGGTCCGCATTTCGAAAACCATCCGTCGCCCATCTGTGAAGCTGCTCCAAACTCTAAGCCTCATGACTGTAAGTGGTGAGGAAGTCTCAAGGCGAACGTCCGTCCCGCCCTACCGACGCGCCTCGGTGTGCGACAGGGAGGAGTTATGCACAAGGAAGCAGGGATGGAGGACCGAGGAGAAGGACGGGGGAAGAGGAGGGGGAAGTAGGAGGAGGAGGGGGAAGTAGAAGGAGGAGGAGAAGGAGGAGAAGGAGGAGGAGGAGGAAGAATGAAAGAGAGGGAGGGCGAGGAGGACGGGGACGAAGACGAGGGATGATGAGCAGGAGCATGACGAGGACGAGGGGAGGAAGGGGGAGTGGGGGAAGGAGGAGGAGGAGGACGGCGACGACGAGAAGGAGGTGGAGGAGGGGGATGGGAAGAAGGAGGACGACGAGGCAGGAGTGAGCAAAAGGACGTGGACGACGAAGTCGAGGGGGATGAAAATGGGGAGAGCGAGGTAGCTGTCACAATCGCGTCTCACTATGGGTAAAGAGGTCGGTGCGCGCTGTCTACATAGGGCATCTGTGTGATTGTCGTGCTTCTCTCTTTCCGCTTGTGAGCAGGATACGATACAGTGGAGCAAGATCGACGAGTTCAAGTCCGGATCTGTTGGTAGCATGCTCTGGTCTCTCATTCATTGAGTTCTGATGGTTGCGACCCGGATCGGAGGAGGAGGAGGAGGAGTAGCAGCAGCAGCAGCAGGAGCGAAACGGGGCAGGAGCAGCATGGGCAGCACGGATGAGGAGGACGAGCAGGGAGTGAGGGAAGTGGGAGGGATGAGGACGAGCAGGGAGGCAGGGAGGAGGAGAGTAGGAGAAGGAGGAGGAGGAGGAGGGAGGACGAGGAGGAAAGAGGAGGGATGAAGATGAGGAGGAGAAGAGAGGAGCAAGAGACGGAGGAGAAGAGGGAGGAGGGTTCAGCAGCGATGATGCCGATCGGGCCGACGGCGTCCACAGGGCATCACGAGAAGTAACTCGACGGCCATTGGCGGTGCGGGACTCGGGTGACCCTAGTTCCGCGTCCTTCGGGCGACGGGTTGATTCGGCAGCCGAAGGGTGGTTGCCCTTGCGGCAGGCTGTGGCGTTCTGTGAAGTGGCTCCTCATCGGGTTCTGTGAAGTGGCTCATCCTCCTCCTCCTCCTCCTCGTCCTCCTCCTCCTCGTCCTCCTCCTCCTCCTCTTCCTCCTCCCCCTCTTCCTCCTCCTCCTCCTCCTCCTCCTCCTCAGCCTCCTCCTTCTCCTCCTCCTCCCCCTCCCCCTCCCCCTCCCTCCTCCTCCCTTCTCCCTCAGCCGTGCCCCTCCTCCGCCTCATCGTCCTCGTCCTCGTCCTCGTCGTCCTCCTCCTCCTCCTCCTCCTCCTCCTCCTCCTCCTCCTCCTCCTCCTCTTCAATTACACCATATGAATACTACTCGCCTCTCTCCCCTGACTCTGTCCGGAAGATGTTCGGCACCCCTCCGCGTATCGTTTTTCACGCACAGGATTCCGGCGAGTTGGTCTTTCATATGTGTTGTCACACATCCGTTTTTCGGGTCTTTCAAGATGTTGCCCCTGCTACAGTGTAGGCCTCATTTTCGGGCTTCCGTTCATTCCGAATCGTGTTCCCGCTGCAGCGCTGGCCTCATTTCCGCGCTTCCGCTCATTCCGAATTGTACTCCCGTTGCAGCGTTGGCCTCATTTCTGCGCTTCTGCTCGTTCCGAATCGTGCTCCAGCTGCAGCGCTGGCCTCATTTCCAGTGCCATGCCATGGCATGCAATGCAATGCTATGGTGTGTTCCGCTGTGCGATGCCATGCCTTCAGCTGCAATGCTATGATATGCTGTGCTTGACTACGCAGTGACACGCCATGCTATGTCATGCTACGAGTTGTTAGTCAACGCCATGTTATGCCACGTAATGCTGTGCCGTGCTACGACATCCGACTGCGCGAATAGAGAGGATACCTACGCCATGGTAAGGGATGGGAGGGGGGTAAGACGTCAGATAAGACGCTTGCGCACCTAGCGTGTCCTCCGCCTCCTTCGCCGCCAGGCTGCCGCCTGGGCGAATTGCTTTGCGCTTGGGGCGGCAGCGTGGTGGCTTCTGTACGTCTGGCTGCGCAGGAGTTCGCGCAGCTGCCGAAAGTGCTGGACAGGGCGGCACTGGCCCTGGCGCTTGCGGTTGTGCTCTGCTGCTGGGTCTGTTTGTCAAGAAGAGATGGCAGTTGTCTCGTTCGGCCCGCTCGAACGCAGCCTGGGGCATGGCAGTGGTGGAGTTCGCGGAGCGAAAGCAAGAGGTACATCAGGCCGCGCGCGCGCGCCTCAGTCAAGGCACTGGGCGGCGCACAGCCTGCTCGAGCGCCTCAGGGGGAAGCCGCTAAGCGCCTGCACCATGCAAACGGGGGGGGGGAGCGCTGCACGGCGCGAGCCGCCAAAGTCTTGCCCGCACGCCAAAAGCGGGATGCCTGGTGGGATCGGCCGAGGCGGCCGAGCAGGAGCTTCACTGCCGTCGCCGGTCGGGTCGGCGCGCTTCTCGTCTGGGCAGTGGGCCGCCAGCGCGAGGAGCCTCGCGCACCACCCGCGGGCCGTCGTGCAGTCCTCGTCCGCCGGGGTATGGTGAGCTCCCCCAGCGTGCACGCTCCAGGTGGGGAGGAGCGCCGCGGAACCCGCAGGAGACAGCACCTATCTATCTCCACGCAGGGGGAGCAGGTCGGCAACGGGGCCCAAGGTCTCCCCGGTGGGGGGGGGGGGGGATGTTCTGGGACCTAAGAAGACAGCACGGGGAGCCAAGATGATGGTGGATCTCCGTGCCAACTCACCCGCCCCGCAGCCAGTTGCATCCCCCGAAGAGGCGTCGTTTAAGGCGTGGTCGTTCACCTCTTCGAGCCACGGCGTGGTACCGCCGGGTGATCGGCCGATCCCGCGCATGGCCCTACCAGGTAGGCCCTACCACGTGATCTGGAGGCCCTCCTTGCCGTCCTTCGGGCGCAGGAGTAGGGAAAGGAGGGAGATGAGGGGGAAGGAGGAGAGTCAGCGACGGGGATTTCGAGAGCATCCGTCTCTTCTTCCCCCTGCTCCTCTCGCCTGGAGTCCCCAAGCAGTGCGGTGACCGCGCCGTCTGGTGAGTCAAAGGTGATTTCGAGGTCAGCTCGACGTTTTGGGACTCGGGTCGTTCTCCGAGGATATCTTGGGCGCCTGGGGCCCCCAAGTCTGACTGTTTCGGGACCCCCACCTTCTCGTCTCGTCATTCATCCTTCTCCGGTACGCTTCCTTAGCCGTCCCCCCCAAATATACAATGATTGTCCCGTTCCACCGTGCAATGTGCAAAGAGCTGAAGGGAGCGTTGAGGTTTTTGAGCGGTGTTTGCTGGACATCTTGGGAAGCCTCTAGAGGCATCTGGGAAGGGGGAGGAGGGGGATGAGGGAGGATGGAGGGATTCGGGAGGATGAACAGGAGTATAGGTAGGAAAAGGGAGGGCGTATGGAAGAGGGAGGAGTCTGATTGTCAGGTCATGTGCAGAAGGCAGCGTTGTGCTTCCGCCGCGGTGCGCGCCTAAGTTTTCGGGGCGAACGTCCCGTCGTAGACGTAGACATCTGCTCAGATCAAAGTATGGGATCCCGTCTATAGTGGCATGGGCACTCTCACCTACTAGTGCTGGGAGCTCTGCGGTGGGGCCGACAACATGCAGCGCGGTACGATGAAAAGTTGCTTTGTGTGTGCTGTGGGCCCCGGTCTTCCATCACACCCCACCACCTCTTGGGCTGGTGCCCTCTCTG